AAAGTGGTGTGGACAGCTGGGGGCTCAGGAGCAGTCCCGAACACAGCCCAGTCTCCGACACAGGCCAGGCGCCACAATCCCGTCTTTCCAACCTAGTCAAGGTCGTCCGTGGACTCCTCAGACCTCTCACTGCCCCCTGGAAGCAGACGCCAGGGCTGAGTGGCCGACCAGCTCTCTTTCACGGGCTGCAGCATGTCCTGGGGGTCAGTGCCTCCCCCAGAAATCAGGCCTCACAGAGGCCCTCGAGCCAGCAGGAGGGGGCTCACCCCAAGAGGAGACCCCCAAAGCACCCGAGAACATGCCCGCAGAATTTCTAAGGCTGAGGATGCAAAGTCCGCCCTGCCAGCCCTCCTCCCCTCCCCCCACCAGAACCATGCACAAGGCCAGGTGCTGCCGCCGTGGGGGAGCAGGGGCAGTGCGGGAGGGGCTGGAGAAGTCCATGTCAAGGGCACCTCTGGCGAGATGGGAAGGGTAGGACACGGTCCCCAAGTCCCAGAGGTCATCGGAAGCCGAACTGAGCCCCAGAGTCACAGCTGCTCCCATGACCTAGACTCCAGCTGCCCCCTTCCTCACCCAGGACAGCAGAGGTGGCCACAGGGACCTGCTGTCCATGGAGGCCGAGGTCAGGGAGACCTCACTAGGGGCACTGCATCTCCTTATGGACCATGTCTGGGGATGGGGAGTGGGGAGGGTCAGGAGTAAGGCTGGACCCCTGTGGGGTCGGTGCCAGTGGAAGGCTTGGGGCGGACACCCCGGGCCAGCACCTGCTCCCTGTCCGCATGCACCTTACTGGTGCCTCATGTGGAGGACCACAGCGTTCTGGGGTCTGGCCTGGATTTCTAGGAGACTCTGACTCCCCTTCTCACATGGGGCACCCCCGACCCGACATGGAAGTGGGGAGCTGGCCGCGGGTCCAAGGGGCCACCTCCCAGCTGAGGAAGGGCTGCCCCACTGAGCATGAGCTGGCCACCACCGTCCTCTGCAACAAGGCTGGGGGACAGCCGTGGATCAGACGGAGGGGGGAGGCCCCCACGTGGCTGCCCAAGGCCAGCCAGGCGTGACACACGGGCACGTGGCCGGCCCAGGGGTGGGGACACACACACAGGACGAGTCTCCGAGAGGATTGAGCAACAAGCCCCAATCGAGGAAGCTGACCGGCGTCAGAAAGAAGATGTCCATGTTCCGCTTGGGCACTTAGGCGGAATCTAGAAGCAAGAAAGTCCAACGAACTGGCCAGACCAGGAGCCAGCCGGGCACCCCCCCGCCCCGCCCTGCCCCCCCAGGTCCCTTCACGGCCACGCCTCAGCCTGCCCCCTCCCCAGGGCAATCACCGCCTTCCTGTGGGACAATCCTCAACGTGTACGCTGCGTCCAGGGGAGCACCAAGTGACCGTGCACCCAAGGGGGTGAGGCTGTGGTCCCTGGTGAGCATCCTGCTGTCCCCCAACACCCCCATGCTGGAGACACCATGGGGCAAAGGCAGTTCTGGTGAGGCTGGGCCACTTCCCCTTCCGGGTCACTTCTCCTTCCAGAAATCAGCACCCACACTGCCCTCCCGTAGCACCTCCAGTCCCGATCTGAACCTCGGTCACCCCCGATGACAGGCCCACCCCGGGGTGCCCAGCCTCCACCTTCCCCCAACTCTCAGCCAGGTGGACACATGCCCTCTCCTGAGCGGGCCGCCTCCTCTCACTCCCCCCCGCCCCAACGCCTTCCCAGCAAGGCCCACCAAAGCTGTTCCTAGGCTGCAGTGCAGGCCCTGAGGGCCCCCCCTTCCTGCTTTCGAGTTCTTCCTCTACAGTCATGAATGACACTTCGCCCGGCCCACCCCAGAGCCCCCAGCCCCACCCCAAGTAGAAGCTGGAGCTCCAGGCGCTCCCCACCTCACCCAGACCAAGCCTGGGAGCCTGGTTTTCCAGAAATGACGGCTCGTCACACCCAGAAGATGCCCCCCGTCTGCACCCACACAGCTGCTTCTGCTCACAGACCGTTTGCACCTGGGATCGACAGCAAGGCCAGCAGTGAAGAGGCGCCCGCAGAGCACACCGGCCTCCCCTTAGCGGGTGCAGCCCCCAGCCCTCCAGGGAAGCTGCCAGGAGCCCCCTCAGCATCGCCCGAGGCAGCCCGAGGCCTCCCATCGGCGGCCCCACCACCCATGACCCCCACGCGCTCTTGGCCTAACGCCCCATGGAGAACCTTTCGCCCCGACTTCGCCATGGCACTGGAGCGGCTTTCCAGACCGGGAGCCATGGGGCGTCACGGGCACGCGGGGAGACAGCTCACACCAGGGAGAACGAAGGCGCAAGGGAACACCCCAGAGCACAGAGGGCGCATGCTCCCCGGCACGGCCATACCCCCACACGCACCTTCACCTGCGTGCACGCGCTCAGCACCGTGGTTCCCAGGCACCACTGAGCACCACCACACATGTTCATGGGTGCCCACACCACGGACACACAATCGGCACACAGGCGCCCCTCCCCACACACACTCGTGCTCACACATACACACACCTACACATGCCCATCCTCACACTCAGCCGCATGCATGTGCCCAGCACCACGGCCCCAGGAACAGCAGAGCTCCCACACACACACACACACACACACACACACACACACACACACACTCACACATGCCCACGCCCAACCTCAAACTCAGCTGCATGCATGTGCCCAGCACCACGGCCCCAGGAACAGCAGAGCTCACACACACACACACACACACACACACACTCACACATGCCCACGCCCGACCTCACACTCACCCGCATGCATGTGCCCAGCACCACGGCCTCAGGAACAGTGGAGCTCCCACACACACGCTCACACACACACACACACACACACACACACACACACCCCACATGCACATGCTCACACATACACGCACTTACACATGCCCATCCTCACACTCACCCGCATGTATGTGCCCAGCACCACGGCCCCAGGAACAGCGGAGCCCCCCCCACACACACACACACACACGCCCACGCCCGACCTCACACTCACCCGCATGCATGTGCCCAGCACCATGCCCCCGGAAACAGCTGAGCCCTCAGCACACATGTTGACAGGCACCCACGCCCACCCCCGCCTACAGCCACCCCCCTGGGCACGTGCCAGCATGGACGTGGGTCGCTCGACCCCTTTGCCCAGCCACAGAGCAGAGCTTTGCACTCGCAGTCAGTCCCTGAAGGAAGACAGAGGCCGCCGGGCTGCAGGGACAGTCTGGTCAGCGGGGGGACACGTGGCCGGGCGCCACCCTTTGGTCTGAGTGCTGAGGGAAGGGGCAGCCGGAGGCAGAGACCGAGTCAGCACCTGTGTGAGCTTTGAGGGCTCCCCGGCAGCCGGAAGCGCGGCTCCCGTGGCCTCCTCCAGACCTCCTGGTCATTGCTCCCGAAGGCACCTCGGGGCTGGCCGTTCCCAGCACCACACAGCCGGGTTGGCCAGCACGCCTTCCAGCCTGCAGCACCAGCGGGAGAGGACGAAGGCCGCCGGGCACGGGACCCCACCCAGGCCCCCCAGCAACCCCGCAGGATCTCGGGGTCTCTCTGGGGCATGACTCCAGGGGGAAGGCGGCCCCCACCCCAAGGGCCAGGGCCCCACCGGGGGCTCCGGGGGATGGGGGCGGGGTCTCCACCCCCGCCACCTCTTTCGCCACGACTCATCACACTCTTGGGACGTGTGTGGCAGGACAGCAAGGGTGGCGAGAGAGAGAAGCACCGGGCCTGTGTGGCAGAGAGGGGTCCCCGGGAGAGGGCCCCCGCACCGTTCCTGGTCACGACGGGACAGGAGCCGCCAGGGTTCTGACTTGGCCACGTCCCCGCAGGGGCGGCAGCACCGAGAAGGGAATACTTCAAGACGTGGGAGGCCCAGCCCGCGCCGAGGGGCCGCGGGAGGCCAGGCAGGGGAGGGCAGGGCGGCCCGTGGGCGCCTCCTGCCCGGGTCGTGGGCAGCACCATAATCTCTGGGAGAAAGTCCCGTCAGGAGACCTCACGGAAGGAAGCTTCTGGGTGCCAAGTTCGGAGTCGGATGAGATTTTGGCAGAGAAGAGACTGGGGCACGAACCCCGCCGACCAGCCCGGCCCCGATTCCACAGACACAGGACGGGCCGTCACCCTGGGGTGCCCCGGAAGCCGGGGGCTCCCCAGCGCCATCCGCTCCCCTCGGTGGGACGGGGGCGGCCGGGGCCCAGTGGGGTCAGCCTGCGGCACGCGGGGAGCGGGACAGGGTGCCGCCGGCGGGCGCCCCACACGTGGCAATTAATCAATCTGGGAAATTAGCTGCAGCAATGGGGGGAGGATCCTGCCGGCTTTGGAACAGCCTCCGGGGGCCGGCCGGAGGCAGACATAAGTAGGGCCGGGCACTGGGCTCCACTGCACAGAAGGTTCCAGCAGGGGAGGCCTTTGGCCACGGGGCTTCCGGCCCTGCGGGAGCAGGAGGGGCTGGAGCTCAGCCCCGTGAGCCCGGGGACCCGCCTCTCAGGCCCGCTGTGAAGCAGCTTCTGGCCGGGGGCCCGGGCAGCAGGTGGGAGGACGCAGGTGCTGGCCCGGCCTGCCCCCCACGTCCCGCCACGCCCCCCGCAGCAAAGCAACAAGGGCTTGCGTCGGGCTCAGGGGTGCTGACCCCTGCTGAAGCCCCCAATTCAGGGTGAAGGAAAGAGACGCGGGGAGGGTGACGGCCACCACCCCCGCTGGGCCCCGTCCTCCTCCGCCGTCAGGCCCAGCTGCACCGGGTTTCCACATGCTCCGACACACGCAGAGGAGCCCGGCTCCCGCGGGGCCGCGAGTCTGGAGGTCGGCGGGGAGGGCCAGGCCAGCTCCCTCCCGAGGCCAGCGGTTCCTCGTCCACTCACCCAGGACTGAGGGCGGGGGGGGGCGGGTGGCTCCGGCCCCCCGTTCCCTCCCCATCTCCATCCGCTGCTGCTGAGTGGTCTGCGCTGGCCAGCCGGGTTTTGGAGGGGACCGCAGGGCACAGTCTCGGGGGGGCGAGGCCCCCAACCCTCTCGCACTGCGGGGGCATTTAGAGAGGGCGGGAGGGTCACAGCAGAGTGGCGTGGCCGGGGTCGTCCTGGTCCATGCTGTTGAGAATGGCCGTCTGGTCTTCCGGAAGCTGCCGGTGGCACAAGTCCGAGAGGCGGGCAAAGGGGTCCGGCCGGGGGTGTCTCTTCTTCTTCCGGAGGGAGACGGCCTCGTCGGGCCACAGGACCTGGGAGTCGGGGAGCTGCTGCGCCTGGGAGGCAGAACCGTCTGGGAGGGAGGAGAGGCCGGCGGGTGAGCCCGCGACAGGGTCACGCCGGAACCAGGGGGCCGCCAGGGCAGGGCCGGGGCACGGAGCCGCGGGAAAAAAGCCGGCACCAAATGGCCCCCCGCGGAGCCACAGGGGCCCCGGCCCCGGCCCCCCGCGCCTGCCCTCGAGCGGCCTCTCTGCGCTTCACCTTGAACGTGTTCACTGGCATCCTCAGCCCTCGGCCCTCGGCCCACGTTCTGTTCCATTCATCGAGCTCAGCCCCCCCCTCCCCCCAGGGTGCTGGACTTGAGCCCCAGTTCTGTCCAGGCCACCCAGCTCGAGGCCCGTGTGGAGAGACCGCGGGGGCCCTTGAGGACTCTGGGTGATTCATGACTGGGACGGTGGGTGGCAGAGACAAAGACCACCCAGCCCCTGAAGGACAGAAACAGAAAGAGATGGAAAAGACGCTGGAAGGATGTGGAGAGACACTGGGTGCCAGACACTTCAAAGAACGCCTTCAGGGCTTCAGGCCCTGAGAAGACACACAGCAGGAGACGAGGGGGCCGGACTACAGGAGGGGCAGCAGGAAGGCCCAGGGGCGGGCAGGGGACACAGAGGCCAAACGCAGGGGGAGGAACCTGGAGTCTACTCTTGACACACGGGAAGCTTCCAGAAGGCACTGAGAGAAAATGTGGGGTGCCTAGGTCCGTATCTGTGCCCAGGATGTCTACGTGCACCCGCAGGGGATGACTGAGTCTGGGGTGACCGCCCTGGGGACAGGCGTGGGGGGAGGATGCTGCCGTCTAGAAGCGCCCCTGGACTTAGTCTGAGCAGCTGAGATGGAAGAAGGGACTGGCGTCACGATGTCTCGGCGATGGGGCCAAGAGCAAGGGTGTGAGACATGAGGGCGAGGGCGGAGTGGAGGGCCTGGCTGCCCCTGGGAGGAGACGGCTTCGGTTCTGACCCTGGTGGCGGGAGACCTGCCAAGGAGAGGCAGATCGGGGAGAATCATCGATGAGGAGTTTGGATGCACCCCAGGCGTATCGAGCAACCACGTGCGGACAACTAGAAATCAGAGACAAGCCCAGGGAAGAGGCTGGGCTGCTGACAGACCCGAGACGGGACGGGAGCCAGGCTGACACGGAGCTGACGGGGAACCAGCCTGACAGGAAGCTGACGGGAAGCCCAGCTGACAGGAAGCTGACGGGGAGCCAGGCTGACAGGGAACGGACAGGGAGCGGGGCTGATAGGAAGCCTCATCTGTGAGGAAAAGCAGCAAGGAGACCATCAGCCCAACCCTCCCCACAGCCATCTCCCTGGGCTCAACATAAACCAGTTCCCCGAGTCCAAGAAGAGCGAAGTCATTCTCACACCCTCCTAAGAGGGCGTGAGGGGCCGGTGCAGTGGGATAGATACGGGAACCGATTAACAGAGAGGGGTCCTCTCAGGAAACTGTGTGTTCACACGCAGAGCTATCTGGTCGAACTGCGGGGGCTGGGCCGGGCCCTTGGCTCCCCCACAGAGTGAGCAGGGCCCAGGTTGGGACGCCACAGAGAAGGAGACAGGAGAAAGGGACACGCAGAACACAGGGGCCGGGTATCACTCCTGTTTCACTGTTTGGGACAACTCCCAGCCTGGTCATCTCCACAGTTCGACCTGGTCAACTCCCTCTGGGGTCATCTCCACAGTTCCTCCACGGCAGGGATGACCTGGGGGCTCCCTCAGGCAAAGCCTGCACTCTGGCCTACCCCACCCAGGTGATGCTAGAGTGAAAGGCTGCCCCCCCCCCACTTCAAGCACCCGCCTGCCAGGAGAGAATTCCAGAGGAGGGAGATCAGGAGAACCAGAGACTCGCCCTCACCTCCCTCATTTTCCACATGTAAATGCGAGGTAGCACAGAGGACTGCCTTGCAAGCCACCAACCTGGGCTCCATGCCGGGCACCCCATAGGGTCCCCCACACCTCACCAGGACTGAGCAGTGAGCACAGAACCAGGAATGAGCCTTGAGCACTGCCGGGTGTGGCCCCCAAAACAAACCCCCCCCCGAAAAAAGGTCACTTCTGGTTCTCCTTGAGAAGCAGGGTAGAAAAGGGCCCCAGAACAAGGGAAGTGGGGGCAGGGGGCCCCCGGCCACCGCCTGAGCTCACACCCCACGTGGCGCGGAAGGGCCGCGGCCATTTACCGGATCGTTTCTTGGACTTCGAGGAGCCCTTGGATGACTTTTTGGGCTTCTTTATCCGCTGGTATTTCAGGGCCTCCAGCCTCTCAGGCGCAGCAGGGCTCCCGGGCGCCGGCGGGCGTGTTCTGGAAGGGACAAGGGAGAGGCCCGGGTCAGCCCCGCGCGGGAAGGAGGGGAGGAGGGCGTCGAGGAGCGGGCCCTGCGGGGCCCTCCGGCCTTGGCAGCGTGCCTGGACGTGGCCTCTCTGGCGCTGGGGCGGCCTGCCTGCGGGGACGGCTCTGTGGCCGGTCACCAGCACACCTAGGAAAGGGAGAGAGCAGCATCAGTCTCGTGCCTGGCTCTGCTGGGGACCTGCGGCCGCGAGCCGTCGGGAGAGAAGCAGCTTCCGGAGAGGACGGAGAGAAACGTCCGAGGACACGGCAGACGGCGGGCGCCTTCCACAGACTTGGCTCCACGACCCCGTCACCGGGGTCCTACCAAACGGAAGCACGGGGACCCGGGAACCCCCTCCCGCCGCAGTCCTCAGGCCCAGCCCGCCGCCCGGCTCCTCTGGGCACAGGACTGCGGCAGAAGCCGGCAGCCTGGCGGCAACCACACACGGCAGCAGGAGGCGCTCAGTCGCCAGGGTCCCCAGGGCAGGAGGTCACAGCTCCAAGGCCGAGGAGGAAGGCTCTCTGCTCCCCTCGCACCCCTCCACGTGCCCGGGGACAGAGAGGGAGGCAGGGAACGCTGGGACGACAAAGGGCATGGCGAGGGACAAGCTGAAGTGGAGAGAACTGTCCAGGCGTGTCCACGGCCGGCCCTCCTCTGGGGACAGGGCACAGTCGGCCTCTCCCTTCCCCTGGCACCGGACAGGTGAACTGTGACCCGAGGGAGAGGGTCAGCGAGGCTGCCTGGGGAAGGAAGCCCGCGGGTGAGCCCGCTGTCCAGAGTGGGCGCGGGCACTGCAGCCTGGCCCCGTCCCCAGCTGTCTCCGCAGGCTGGTGCAGCAGGAACCCAGAGACCCGAGTCAGAAGGCCGAGTCCCGCCTCTTCCCGCAGCGAAGCGTCTCCAGGCCTCTCCTCCGGCCGTCAGCTCCGCCAGCATCGACGGACAGACGGACACCAGTGCCCACTCCCCAGCGCAGGCCAGAGACACTCGTGACTTCGCACACAGCCCCCGACTCCCCGCCCGTGGGCAGCTATGCCGAGGCCCACCCCGTCCTCTGCGCCCCCCAAGTGCTGGGAGGGCACAGGGAGGCGGGGGGCGGGGAGTGAGTTTCCGACGGGAGGGGCTGCCCTCACTCCCTTCTCCGCCCTGGACTTGGGCCTCCTCATGCTGCCTGAGAGAGACAGCAGGGGGGGAGGCCACTGTCCCACATGTCCACACACGCTGGCCGCAAGCCTCCAGGCGAGGTCCCGACATGGCCCGGAAGCAAAGGACTGTGTGCACAGCACTCCAACCCCGTCCCTGCCCGGCCTCACTCCCCAGGCAGATGCAGAAGTGGGCAGGCGCCCAGGCCCTCCTGAGGGGTCCCACAGCCAGCAGGGACGTCTGTGGAGAAGGTATTAGTGCCACCGGCCATGATCGCTTGGATCTTTTATCGGGGTGAGGGCTCCCACGCAGTGCTCAGGAAGCCCAAGGGCCCCTCCCACTGGCTCTGGACCCACAGAGCCACCTGGCGGAGGGCCTCGAGTCACGCCCGGGAGGGAGGGGCTGTCACTCAGGGCTCCGGCCTCCCTCCGGGTCCTTCCTATCCCGAGCGATTACTTACCACTCCCCAGGCCAGGCAATGCGCTACAATAAGCCCCTTTAATCCTCACAGCGCACCAAGAAGCCGATACTACATCAGCCTCTTTGTCGGGCGGAGACACTGGAGGCAGAGAAGGGAATTAGCCTGTGCCCGGAGCCCGTGGCCGGGAAATGCCGCCACTTCCCAGGCCTCAGTCAGATGCGCGTCCTGTCCCTCCGCGACAGAACCAGGGCAGAAGCCAGAGAAGGAAACGGCAGCTCCATCTGCTTCCACCTGGGCGCAGACAGCGCCGGCAGGAGCCGGACCCGACTGGGAGGGTGCTCGGGGTCGGGGCTGCAGCCCCAAACCACCCCAGAGGGCCGATCCTTGGATGGAAGAGCATCCCCCACCCCCCCCCCCCGGGAGGAAGAGTCACACGAGCCCCTTTCGGGGACCAGCAGTCGCCCCTGCCGGTGTCTCCCTGGGCTGGAAGCTCAAACACAGACAGGACAGAAACACCACGACACTGTCCCCAGGCAGCAGACGAAGACAGGCTGAGCGTCTGGAAGGAGGCGCGGGAGGGGAGGAGGGAGGGACGAATGGAACGGGCCTCTGCAGACACACGGAAGTGACGCAGGAAGTTCCCCTCCAGCGCAACTCCCAGGGACTAAGGCCCCCTCCCCCATCTCCAGGAAGGGGGACCCCTGGCCCAGGTCTGTGTGAGCCCAGCATGAGGCACCCAGGAAATGAAGCCTTGGGCTGGCGGCGTGTGGGACCCACAGCTGCGCCCTGGGCACCTGGGGCTGGGCCTGGCCTTCCCCACCCCGAGGTGCTCCTCCCTGCCAGCACGCCAGGGCTCTGAGGTGAGGGCAGCCCCAGCTGTCTGGGTTCCTGCCCTACGCTGCCCGTCCGAAGCAGCCGCCAGGACCGGGGTTCCGCCGCCTGCTCTGAGATGCAGGAACCCGGGCGGCACTCCTGAGCTCTCTGCTCCCCTGGAGAGCAGGCCTGGGAGGGGAGAGCCTCAGAACCCCTCCTCCTGCCACGCCCCGAGAGCTGGGCGCCAGGACGCAGCTGTCCACAGACGCCTGTCTCTGTGAAGTGAGTGACTGCCACTCAGCGCAAGGCAAGGCTGCGTCACTGCAGGCTTGGAGCACGCACTGCTCCCCAGACAGTGCTCTCTAGAGACTGCTCCTGGACACTGCTCTTGGCTCAATGCTCCCCAGACACGGCTTCCCTGACAGTGCTCCCTGGACACTGCTCCCAGGATTGTGCTCCCGGACACTGCTCTCGGGCCCCTGCTCCAGACACCGACCTCAGCAGGTCACAGTTCCACCTTCTGCCTTAAGGGATGGCAAAATCGCTGGCCTATCTCCTCCCAGTCTGAAAGCCACAGGGTTAGAGGCGTCCACTGCCTGCTCTCGGCCAGACTCCTGGCCCCAGGTGGACGCTGGCGCCCCGGGGACGCTCATGCCTCAGAGAGCTGGCGTTGCAGAGTCGGGGGTCACTCCTGCCCAGCCTGGGGGGTCTGCGGGGATCCCCCGCACTGCCTCCCACGGGCACCCCCAGACGCTCCCAGACCCCCATCTGGGCCATACACCGGACAGGGAGGATGCAGGCGGCACCGGCTGTGACCGGCCGGGGCCCCAGGTAACAGGAGGGGGAGGTGCTGCCGCATGGCTCCCCGTTCAGAGGGACCGCCCGGTGCAGGGAGAGACAAGGGGAACAGGACAGAGCGCACGGACGCAGACAAGACGTGGCACTTCTCCAAGCAAGACCGACGGGGACACATGCAGACCAGCACGGCAGCGCTGACGGCAGCCGAGCCCCATGGCCCAGCAGGTACGGCGCCCGGTGGGGGGTGGGGGGCCGGACTCCGAGGCTCGGGGTGGGGTTCATTCTCCTGGGCCGGGTGCTGGCCAGGCCCCTCCCCCTCACCCCTGGTTTCTGGGTTGCCACAGCAGAGAAGGGAGCATTCGGCCAGCACAGCTCCGGCGTGGGTGGATGTGGAGGGGAGGCTGGAGGGCGGGGTGCAGCCCGGGGACAGGGAGGGCAGCAGCGAGGGCAGTCCTGGGGCTCACACCTCCAGGAGGCCCCGGAGCAGTCAGAACTGGGTGGGGCGGGGGAGGGGGTGGTCCCGTCACTGTCACTCCAAGAGCCCACAGGAGGCCGCAGAGCCGCCCCAGGAGCTCCCTCCGGCCTCCTCTCTCTCTGGAAGCCGAGCTCCTGCCTGGAGGAGGAGGCCAGACCCGAGGCGGGCCCCGGACCCTCGCTCCCCTCCCAGGACCAAGAGGCGTGGGCACCGGGCCAGGGGCTCGGGGAAGGCCTGGGGCCCAAGGAGCTAGGGGCGCCCACTTCCCTGCCCACGAGAGAGCAGGCGGCTGGGAGTGGAGCGAGCGAGCGCCTGCCCACGGGCCAGTCTGGCCTGTCCCGGGGGCCGCCTCGCCCCCGCCCCAGGAGCTGTGACACCCCCCCACGCGCCCACCCCAGCGCAGGGGCGAGCAGCGCTGGCTGCGGGCGCTCCTGGAGAGCAGGAGGTGGGGGCGACGGGGCAGTGAGGGACCAGCCACCGGGCAGCAGGGGAGACGTGGCGCAGGACAAGGGAGGAGGGTCCAGGGCCCCAGCCCGCGCTGGCTGCAGATGCAAAGCGGCTCCGGCCTCCCAGCGCACGGGCATGCGGGGCACCCCAAGCCGGCCCGCGGCGCTCTGGGTGGGCGCTGGCAGCGGAGGCGGGGAGGGGGACACACCGCCAGGCAGTGGGGGCGTCGAAGCGGCAGCTAAGCGGGGCCGAGCCGGGAGGGGCGGCCGCGGGGAGCAGCGCGATGTGGGGAACCCAGAAGCCACGGGGATGGGGGCGCGCGGCGGCGGTGGTGGCCGCGCGCGGCAGGAGGGGGAGGGACATGGTCTGGAGCCCCCGTCGAGGAAGCGATGGCCCTGCCGAAGCCCCGCCTGTCCACCCCCCGCCCCCCGGCCCGGAGCTCCCTTACCTATTGAGCGGAGGAGAGGCTTGTCTCGGTAACACTGCCCAGATAGCTGAGATCAATCAGAAACAAAGCAGTTACCAGCAGGGCCACGGGGCACCACACACACCCCGGGGCGCAGGGGGCACGGCCGGAGACCCCGACCACAGCGGCCAGAGCGCAGAGACAAGAACCGATGGCACGCGGGACGCAGGAAACAGATGAGCGCGCGAGGACGGGACGGGACGGGACGGACGGGACGGGCACAGACCTGCGGCTGCGGCCTCCGCCCAGGCGGGCAGACGGGCAGACGGACTGACGGACGGCAGCGGGCGCCCTGCGCACCCGCGGCCCAGGAGCCTCCCGGGCAGGGGCGGGATGGGCGCGGGGCGGCCCCCAGCCTGCCTACCACCGGCTCGGCCTCCTCGGGACGCTGCGAACCTGCACACCCAGCAGCCACCAAAGGACCGAAGCGGAGGGACGGGGACGGGGACCCTAGGGAGACGCGGGCGGCCCGAGCAGGGGAGCCGCCCGGAGATGGAGCAGAAGAGAGACAGCGAGACAGGAGGAGGAAGAACGGGACGGTGAGCAGAGGCGCAGGCAGGCTCCAGCGAGCCCGGGGCGCGGTACCTGGCATACCGGCCGCCACGGCCTAGACTGTGCGCTCCCAGGCAGGCTGACCGCGGGAGTGTGTCTGTCTGTCTGTCTGTCTGCAGCTTCCTGCGAGGCACACGGGTCGGGGAGGGGGCTCGGGGCCAGTGGTCTGCAGCCTGAGGCTCGGCGCCTGGCCTCCAGGCACCCACCGGGCGGTCTGAGGGGCAGAGCAGGGCACGGGAGCCCCTGGCCGGGAGGTCCGGGGAGGTCGGGCTTCGGGGGGGGTCCGGCTTGGCCAGGAGGAGAGGCCGGGGCAGATGAGGAGGCAGGCCCGAGGCAGAGCTCCTCCTCCACCGTGAGAGAAACCGGGGTCCCCGATCACCGAGCACACCACGCACGCGGGCGCGCCCCCTGGCCCGGCCCCGGGCCACGGCTGCCAGCAGAGACCAGAGCTAGGCTCCAGAAAGGGGGTCCGTCGGGGGCCGGGGCCGGCTGGGGAGGCTGGGGGGAGGGGAGGCAGACCCGGCTCACACTCACCCGGAAGGGGGAAGCGGTGGGGGGGGCCCCTCTGGTCGGAGCAGCTCCTCCCCCACCCTCCGAGGGGAGGGCGTCTGGCCGAACACGTCCAGGGTGTCTGGGGGCCCCGGCGGCGGCGGGGAGGGGCAGCTGGTGGCCAGCGCGGTGAAGCCCATGGCCGGCCGAAAGCTGAGGCTGCTGCCGCTGCTCTGGGTCGGGGAGCCCGTGGACGGCGGCGTGGGCTTGCGGGAGAAGCTGACGGCGGCTGGGGGCTGCAGCGTGATCTCGGACATCTCGGCCTGCTGCAGGAGGCCGGGGCGCGGCCGGGCGCGGGCAGCCAGCTCCGGGGAGCTGGTGCGCGAGCTCAGGGGGCTTTGGGTCAGAGGCGAGAGCCGTGCGGGCTGTAGCACCACTTGATGTAAACTGGGCTCGGCACGCCGGGCCTGCCGGGGGCTGGGCCGGGGCCGGGGCTGGGGCTCGTACCACCGGGTGTCCAGGCCGAGCGTGCTGGGCTCGGCCGGCTCGGGGTAAGGCAACACGGGTATGCCCATGCCTTGGCTGGTGTGTCGCAGCTGCCCCTGGCCCACCAGCGGCTGCAGAGGTCTGTCCTGCCACTTGGCGGTGGCCGTGGCGCCGGGCCCGGGCACGGGCCCGCGGCCCGGGGACTTGCCGGCCCAGCCCTTGGGAGCCTCCAGAGACAGGATGCCCGGGTAGGCCGCGGGCACCTGCAGGGGCCCGGGCGGCAGGCCCCGTGGGAGGCCGGCCCTGGGCTGCAGGCTCTCGGGGACGTCGCAAGGGGGCAGCTGGTGGGAGAACATCATGGCCGGCGCCTCCAGGCCCCCGAAGGGGAACTCGGGCCGGCCCCAGGGCTCGGGCGAGCGGCCGCCCGTGGGCGTCTGAGTCAAAGGCAGCGTGCTGTTGGACGCGTTCTCCCCGTTCTCCTCGGGGATGGTGGGGTGTCCGAAGGGGCCCTCGCTGTGCAGGGGCGGGGAGGACAGCACGGAGCTCAGCGGGCTGCCCACCTCGGGCATGTAGAAGGGCGGCGGCTCCACCTCGCCGGGGCTGCTGCTGCTCAGGTACCCGTAATACTGGCCGTGGTGGAAGGGCCGGGGCGCGGGGGGCCGGGCCTGGCCCGTGGCCTGCAGCCGCCCCTCCAGGCCCCGGGGCTGGAAGCGAGGGCTGTAGGCGGGCGGCGGCAGGTAGGACTCCTGGCTGGACGAGAGCGGGGTCAGCTGGGCCTTGAGGGCGGCCACGGACGTGGGCACCAGCGGGTCCTCGTTCTCCTCGTCCGACTGGCGGAACTCGGGGTACATGTCGGACTCCTCGGCGAAGGGGAAGCCCTCGATGCGCCGGCTCTTCACGGACGGCTCCATGTCGGACGGGTCCATGACGAAGCGGCCGTCGGGCCCGCGGCTGATGAGCTCGATGGGCGTGGTGGCCTCGGCCTCCGCCTCCGCCTTGGCCACGCTGTACTTCTTGCTGCTGATGGCCCGCTTGGTCTTCTTGTACAGGGACAGCTCCTTCTCCCGCGTGGGGCTCAGCATCCGCTTGGCGGCCGGCTGGCCCTGGTCGTCGGAGGACTCGGACAGGGCCCGGAGCGTGCGGGTGCTCTCGGGGCTCACCTTCCCGGAGGACAAGCTGCGGGGACAGCGGGGAGAGGGTGAGGGCAGCCGCCGCCGCCGCCTGCCCTGGCCTATGGGGGGAGCACCGCTACCCGGGGTCCAGCTGTGGGCAGATGTGCTTGGGTGTCACTCCTACAGTGCTCCGGGATTCAACTCGGGCCTCCCGCATGCAAGCCTCCAGCCTGTGCTGTCGTGTTTGAAACGAGATTGGGACCACCTGGGTCCTGTGCTAGCCGGGCTCAGTCGAGAGACCAGCTCCATCCCCGGCAGCTCAAGAAACACCCGCTTCCATGCTCACCTCCCAGCACAGGGGGTGAAGGTGGGCTGCTCTCCAGAGCACAGGACTAGGGACCATCTGCCTCCCGGCTGGCCTCCAGGCCTGCCCTGCCCCTCAGCAAGGCCAGCGTCAAGGCACCGTGACCCACCTGGACATGCTGCCTGCCCCCTCGCCTGTCCCCAGCCCCCACCCACACTGTGGCTCTGCCAGGCCCAGAGGCACTCACGGAGACTCCAGGCTCTTCCTGCAGTGAGTGATGGAGAGTGGAGGGTCTGGAAGGGAACGGAGGCAACAGCCAGTGAGACTGAGACCCCAGCACGTCTCCCCAGGGGGGTCTCGGGCCCTGCATCGGGCCAGTGGCCGCTTCCCCTGTACCCGGGGTGGGCCCAGGCCAGGGCCCGCTGCCACCCCCTCCCAGCTCACCCCACCAGCCTGGGCCTTCCTCCCTCCCCCACGCTTCTGCCCACAAGACTACAGTGTGCCCACTTCAAGAGGGAGTGTGCCAACAGGGGCTCTCCCCCTGCTCTCCAAGGGAGCTCTGGCCCAGGGCTGGGTGGAGTAGGGGCCAGGCGGTCACCCACCTCCCCGGGCCAGGCAGACACCCACCTCCCCGGGCCGGGCAGAGCAGGGGCCAGACAGACACCCACCTTTTTTGCGCTTGAGCTTACGTTTGCGCTGCTTGTTCACGAAGCAGGCGGCCAGGGTGCTGAAGAGGATAGCAGCCGCCAAGAAGCAGATGGTGGCCACGATGCCGGCCAGCACTGGCCGGGCGAGGCCGTCATCCGTCAGGTCGGGCTGCGGGAAGATGTCTGCGGGCGGGAAGGGCCACGCCTGAGTCCCCCCGTGCCGCGGGCCCCAGGCGTCCCCACCTCCCCAGTCTCTCCCCCACCCTACAGACAGCGCGAAGCTGCAGGGAGCGGGAGGTTTAGGCAGGAGGCAGACCCCAAGGTGGCGGGGCAGCTCGGCAGCCACTCAGGGAGAGGCGACAGACTTTCCCCACAGAGCTGGCTTCCCCGGGCTGGAGTGCGCACTCACACGCACAAGGCCTCGGGTTCGGGTCCTGGCACTGCACAGTCCCCTGACAGGGCTCTCATAGCCTTGGTGGCCCCTGAGCACTGCAGGGTGAGCACCAGCACAGTGCCAGGCCAAGCACTGGACCGTCCTGCCTGGCTCACCCCGCCAGTCTGGGCCTTTCTCCCTCCCCCACGGTTCTGTCCACAAGACCCCAGTGTGCCCACTCCAAGGGGTATTGCCAGAGGTGACCCCCAAGCCCCCTGTCATTGCTGGGGTTCCCCCAACACACACACACACACACACACACACACACACACACACGTCTTTTGTGCTTCGTTGCCTTCTGCAAGTGCTTTGCCCACAAGACGCAGCAAGCCTGCTGGGGCGCTGGGTGCTAGAGAGAGGACGGGGCCAGCTGGTGTGAGGATGGTCTGCAGACATGTGGGTGTTCGGGCCTGAGCCACACTACGGTGGGGCTGACTTTCAGTTCAGTGGAAAGATGGAGCCCGCGGGAAGGAGCAGGATCGCCACTGCAGAACGCAGGCCTGGCCTCAGAAACGTGAGGGACTCCAATAAGGAGGAGGCGTCCATGAGGTCGTGTATCACCAGGTGACCCCCAAGGCCCTGAGCACTGAGGGGCCCCACTGGAATGGAACAGTGCCTGCCTCCTTCTATGGCACAGAGCTGAGTGTCACCAACACCCGGGTCCCAGAGCCTGTCAGGAAGGGGCAGAGCAGCCCAGTGGGCCACCACGAGCCTCACTGGGCTCCGCAGGGCACATACAGGCTCTGAGCCACAGGGCGGGGTTCACGGCCACGTCGCAGCAGCAACACACACTGGGGCCTTGGGAAACGGGACCTGGGTCTAGAGTCCCCACACAAGGATTCTTCCAGCCACATGCATGGCTCTGGGGAGCCAGACAGAAGGACACCGAGTGTGAGTGGCTGAAGGGGAGCCTGTGACAGGCACCGGACTGAACAGGCGCCCGGAGGATCCCACGGGGGACCCGCCAGCAGCTCGAGGAGAGTGTCCGACACCGAACAAAGTGGCACCCGAGCCAGGGGAAGGGCTCCGCAGCCACCCACAGCTGCGTCCCCACAGCACAAGGTCCTCTGGACCCCCAGACCCGCCTTCGCAGCCTAGCGGCAGCTGCGGCCACAGGCAGGAAAACCAGACTCAGTGCCAGGTGGAGGCGGTGGACAGGAGCCCCAGGCGTGAAAACAAAGACAATATCCACCACCCCCGAAACTCTCCGCGGGGCAGGCCTCTACCTGGTGTCCTAAGGGGTGGATTCGGGAGAAAAGGAAGGCTAGGACGGGGGACAGGAGGTGACTCAGCTCCAAGGACGGAAGCAGCGGGGGTCAGGGGTGGGAGGCGGGCACTGAGAACTTCACTTCGGCTGCACAGACACAGCAGCGGCCAGGCTCAGCATACACCCAGCAGTGCAGCTCCTGGCAGGACGGGCAGGCACACGCAGGCACACGCCTCGCACCACCCCCCTGCATAAAACCAGACCCCACAGCACAGCAACAGAAGAGCCACAGAGATGGGGGCGGGGGCGCCGATGACAGACCCAAAGGGTCCCCGACACCCTCCAGCTCCGTAACCTCTGAGATGAGACCTTCCAGGAGATGGAGGTGAGGCTGGGTGGCGGCCTGCCGTAAGGAGCAGAACAGAGTTCTAAGAACAGGAAGCGCAGACCGGGTGTGGCGGCTCGGCCTTCGGAAGTCCCTGAAGGAAGGAGCACAGCCGGGAACCAAGACACGTGTGGGAAGGCTCAGAGCCGTGATGGAAGCCAAGGAAGGGTCAGTGTGTCACAGGGTGAGATGCAGAAAACCATCAGTAAGGAACAGAAGACCCAAAGAAGGAGAGAAAATAAAGGGGAAGGAATTATGCATGGTAGCAAGACTCTTCGCGTTTCCTAGGTGTAAGGGTCCCCAGCAGGGGCCGAAACAACAGTACAGCAGGAAGGGCGCGTGCCTTGCACGCAGCTGACCCAGGTTCAATCCCCTGCACCCCAGATGGTCTCCTGAGTCCCCCAGGAGCAATCCCTGAGCACAGAACCAGGAGTAAGCCCTGAGCACCGCTGCACGCCCTGCAGAAAAACAAACAAACACAAACACTGTCCTCCCACTGTTCAACGATTTGCTGGAGCGGTCCCAGTAACGTCTCCATTTTGGGACTTGTTGTTACTGTGTCTGGCATATCGAATACGTCACGGGGAGCTTGCCAGGCTCTGCCGCGCGGGCGAGATACTCTCGGTAGCTTGCTGGGCTCTCCGAGATGGGTGGAGGAATCAAACCCAGCTCGGCCGGGCTGGCTGCGTAACAAGGCAAACGCCCTACCGCTGTGCTATGGCTCCAACCCTGAAAGAAAAAAAAAAGTCCCCAAGGAAAGAAAGAGAGAACAGAGGACTGGTGGGTGGTGAAAGAAACTATAACTTAGGACGGTATAACTCAAAGCGATGCCAAGCTGCCGATTGCCCCAGATGGACTAGTCTCTGGGCTAAGAACCCTTGGGCCTTCTCAGTCCCTGACCCACTGAAGGCCCAGGCCACACCTCCCCCATAAAGTGCCCAGCTCCACAGCCCCACAGCTCATCTTTTTGGATCATACCCAGCGATGCACAGGGGTCACTCCTGGCTCTGCATTCAGGAATTATTCCTGGTGGTGCTTGGGGGGACCATATGGGATGCTGGGAATCGAACCTGGGCCGGCCACGTGCAAGGCCCTACCTGCTGTGCTATCGCTCCAGCCCCCACCCCCAGCTAGTCTTGAGGAGACACCAAGTCCACTGGACCATCCCAGTCCCAGGCTCCTGGAGCATATGGTTGCGTATATGGCCACACAACCCCTCCAATTTTCACAGCCCAGATTCTGGAGGGTGAGGTGGGAAAATGGGGACAATGGTGGTGGGAAGGTCACACTCGTGAGAGGTGTGGTGTTGGACACTGCCTGAAACAATTGTATAATGAAACCTTTGTAAATCACGGTGTTCAAATAAGGTTTTAAACATTTTTAAAAGAAAATATATATATAGCTTAAAATTTCCTCCTGTGTTGAGTCATACACCAAGATCCAAAAAACTCAAAGGGTTCCAAACAAAATAAACACCAGGGCCCGAGGGATAGTCCAGAGGATAAAATGCTGCCTTGCAGGTGGTGTCCCCATTCTATTTCCAGCACAGGATCCCCTGTCCAACACCAAGAGTGACCCTGAATTCAGAGTCAGAAATAAGCCCTGAGCACAGCCAGCCAGGGGTGACCCAAAACACAGAAAAAACAGGAAACAAAACAAACAAAATAAACCCAAACAGAAAAGAAAACACCGAGACACACAGTAGTTAAAATATCAAAAATCCAAATCCAAGATCAAGATAGAATCCTGAAGGCAGTGAAACCAAAGGAGGAGTTTACACATCAAGGATACACATAAAATTACAGAAAATCTATCATGAGACACTACAGGCCAGGAGAGAACACTTGTACATATGAACAAGTTGGATGAAATAAATATCCCAACAAGAATACTCTGGGCACAAGGGACCCAGCCCCGGCAGCCAAAAACCTCCTTACAACCACTCTCACACACTCCGGCCGAGCCTGACCCATGAGTGAACCCCCAGAAAAACCAGATATGCAGGACTTTGTGACTGAAAACTCTGGGTTCCACAGGACCGGGAGCAGGGATTCTCTGCAATTACCCCCCTGCCTCTGGTAACTCAGCAGTCATGCCCATAAGCACCTAAGGCTGGTGCCAGGTAATCACGTCATCGGCCACCTGCAGTCACATGTCCTTCTCTCCCAGAAAGGAGCGTAACATGACACTCACCATAACCATGGGTGCCAGACCCCACACCACACTGTTTCATTTGGGGTGCCCTAGAGGAGGGCGGGTGAGACCCCTCCCCGTCCCAAGGGACCCAGCCCCAACCACCGCCTCCAGAACTCAACCCCCGCCATGCTCATAGACACTCTCACATGCTCGGGCCAAGCCTCACCCACAAGTGAACCTATTCCTGGATAGCTCATACCTCACACCACCTATACTCCAAGAGTACTGCACCACATTTGATGGGGTTCAAAGTAGGAGGCAACCAATCTTAGAGGAAAATATTTTTTACAGATATATAGATGTATATATATCTTTATTAGTACACAAGGCTCAACCTTTAATAACATGTTAGTGACCTCTTGTAGAAGGGCTCAATAGCCCCTTGGTGAGATACAATCTTCACACTCTTTCCTCTTAAGGAAACTTATTTGGAGCATTTTGAGTGGTTTTTCATAACAGACAATCCAAAATATATTTTGGTTCTGCTTCGGGGTAGGGGTTGGAGTTTGGGATGGAAACGTCTGAATTATGGTGGCAGGAAGGCAGTAATGGTGGTGGGATTGGTGTTTGAATATTAAATGTGATCAAATATTGTGAACTATCACTGTCACTGTCCTCCCGTTGTTCACTGATTTGCTCAAGCGGGTCCAGTAACATCTCCATTGGAGACTTTGTTGTTACTGTGTTTGGCATATCGAATACATCACGGGGAGCTTGCCAGGCTCTGTCGTGCAGGCGAGATACTCTCGGTAGCTTGCCGGGCTCCCCGAGAGGGGCGGAGGAATCGAACTTGGGTCGGCCATGTTGGCTGTGTGCAAGGCAAACACCCTACCTCTGTGCTATCGCTCCAGCCCATTGTGAACTACTTTATAAAATTTTTTAAAATTAGGGGCTGAAGCGATAGTACAATGGAGATGGCGTTTGCTTTGCACGTGGCCAACCCAGGTTCAATCCCCAGCGTC